GTAAAAGAAGTTTTTTTAATGGATTCTGAAAGTGAAAATGTGAGAGAGAAAGATGCTTTAAACTGAGCATTCTCAAAGTTCAGAGAAGGCTTTCTACAGTCAGGATTACCCATTGCACAGATAAGTAGAGTCATAGTCCAAACCCCGGAAACTCTGTTGTTGTCTTTGAAAGGCTGTTTTTTGTTTGTTTGTTTTTTAAATTCCTAATTCCAGAAATAGGGCAAGGTGTGAGAAAAAGAACTAGAGGGCACTGACCCTGGAGCAGAGTTGCCCAGTACTGCCGACCTATTCCACCGTCTGAAGTTTCCCTTTCACTTTTTTACCATCTATGAAAGATTAATAAATTGTGATAATCATTTTTTAAATGTATTAACTGCTTTAAAAGTCAGTTATGTACATCGTTATGAATCATTTTGGCAGTGCTTCTTTTCTCAGAACACCTGTGATAACTATCCCAAAAAGTTTGGATTAGAGAATATGAAGATTGTTTCTCAACTTGCAGCACTTTTGGGAGACAGGACAGCCTAAGGGAAATGCTAAGGTGGAAGGTTAACAAAACTTGAGGAGACTGAAGAGGAAATGCTAGGAGGTGTGTAGAAGAACATAGAAAGGAAAGTATAGCATCAAGTATTTCAAAATTTTGATTAGCGTTCACTCTTCTCAAAGATAACAGAGCAGAAACATCACCTTCCTCCTCTTTATCCTACTGTCTGGATTCAGAGCTCAGGCTCGTACTATTTAGATTATAAGTAAGCTGTATTGTCAGGTAATTGGACTTCTTTTGACTAGCCTGAGGACCTCACCACTTGTCTGAACAGTACTGTCTAATAGAAATATATATAATGTATAACATGTCTCACTTAAAATGTTCTAGTAGCCATATTTTAAAAAGTGAAAAGAACACCGGTAAGATTGAGTTTAATATATTTAACCCAGTCTATCATTCACCCAGAATATCATTTCAATATGTGATCAATATAAAAAATTACTACTGAGTAGATATTTTACTTTTTTCCATACTAAGTTTCCCAAATCTGCTGTGTAATTTACACTTACAGCATTTCTCAGTTTTGACTAGCCACATTTGAAGTGTTAAAACCAGTGGCTGTCATTTTGAATAGTATGGATATGGAACATAGTTTTACAATGAAAATGTTTCCCAAGTTCTGAATAATAGACAAAATTTTGGAGAACATTCTAAAAACTCATTTGACTTTTCTGAGCCTTAGTTTCCCCTTCTGTAAAAGTGAGGAATTGGACTAGGTGAGCGCTAAGAATCCTTTCAGTTTCAAAATTATATGTGTCTAGAGAAATGAACTAATGGTGTTTATGGTACTTTTATTAACAATATTCTACAGAATTTCTTTTATAATTAAGCTGTCATTGATCAGATTCAGTTAAGAATTTTATTGGAGCATAAGCTGGTAAGTGGTAAAGCTGGGCTTCAAAACAAGGACTGTCCTTATCACTAAGCTTGTGTTCTCTCCACTGCACATATAGCCTCCCAGGAATTTTCATGGTGTCAGGATAGAAGATAAAATGTTGAGATTAATTACATTTCAGTTAGCAGCAGCTTTATTATGGAATACTGATAGCCCCATACTGTGTTTACTATTTATTTTGAGATAGTTTAATAATTTCCTTTTCTTACATTCTTTTTCTGGGCCACCAAACTTTGTTTTAATGTTGCAGATCTCATACTCCTCCTTGACCAGCCCCGTGGCCCATTCCATCCCCTTGATTTTCATGGTACTTTACAGTGAGGACAGCCAGAAAGAAGCATTGGGGTAAAATAAGCAAGCTCACTGTAAAGTCCTTTGACTGTAAGATCAAGAAGCCTGACAGCCTCAGGACAGAGTCTGCAGTGAGTTTGACTCATCATGACTGAGGATAAAAGGCTCTTCTTCATTTATATATTTTACCTGATTCCCCAGGTAAAGGCTGTCTCCTTTAAAAAAAAAAAAAAAAAAAGTTTGCAAACTAGTAACCTGTGTGCTGGATGCGGGCCAACGTGTGTTTTCACATGGCATTTTCCCCTTTTTTTGGCAAAGGAGTAAACATTTTTAAATGGGGATATTTCACAATAAATTACAGATTTCCTACTTCTCAAAAAATGAGAAAATCTAGCAACAGTGGGCCCCATCTTCCATGGAGTTAACTAGCTGCTGCCTCCCTGAGATGGGGCATGGGGTATGCCAGTACCCCCCCACCCCCAGTCATCCTGTATTCTCTCACTGCTCTCATTTTGTGTTTCCTGCCTGGGCCTGTAGATATTTGGATTTGTGACCCCTGTGTACATGATAGAATCAGAATTTTAGCTTATTTGCCTATGCTTACTATTCTGAGGATAGTCTCTTTTAAGCTTAAGAGATCATATAGTGTGTTATATATTGTAGTGTAAGCAGTTCCTAGACAGTGTTTAGAATAGTCAAAAATCATTCTCAGAGGAAAGGGAATAAAATTTGTCGAGGACCTCATAATTTGCAGTGTGATGCTTATTTAATCAGTTATAATCCGAGTAGTAGTAGTAGCATTTTAGGTATTAGGAAAATGATGCTGAAGTCACACAGCTAGTAAGGGCCCCAATTAGTCTTTTTCCGAAGCTCATGTTCTTTCCACTATCATGTATTGCGTCCATCTCAGTCCCAGAAATTGTTTGCAGTGTCTAGGTTACACACTTGACCTCCAGTGTATATACTGCCAGTTTACAGGCAGGGAAAGCATTTTTATCATAACATGAATTGCCATTTTTATATTACATTAGAAAAGTTGACAGACATCAGATAGGTAGTTCCTTTGCTTTTACAGTACTTAGTTGCTAGTGCTACTTGACAGTTGATAAATCAGTATGGTATTCTATTAGCAGAGGTGAACTTTTTTGTGTGTTTTTGTTTTCTTTGATACTCTCCTTAACCTGTTCCCTTTGCTGGACATACAACCTCCTCTGAGTGATAATAGAAGCATTTATTAAGTTTTATTTTTTCATTCAGAAAGCATTTATGACATATACATGTGATCAAGATTCTGGGAGAAATTCCAAAAGACAGGATATCTGCCTTTAAGAATTTAACAATGAGCCCAGCTGGGCGTGGCTCAGTGGTTGAGCATCGACCTGGGATCCAGGCGATCGGGGTTCAATTCCCGGTCAGGGCACGTTCCCGGGTTGTGGGCTCGATCAATGGCTCTCTCATCATTGATGTTTCTGTCTCTCTCTCTCCCCCTCCTTTCCTCTCTCTGAAATCAATAAAGATCTATTTTTAAAAAAAAAAGACTTGAAAGAATTTAACAATGATTGAAAATTGCATAACAAAGTCACATCGATAAGAAAGTAAACTGTAAAAAAAGAAAAAAGACAAGGAAATAAAAATGGTTGCAGAAGGGAAATAGTTGCAGCTGGTAATCATTTAGTTATCAAAGTTCAGCTATGCTAAAAATCATCAGGAAGCAGAGCCCACTTTTAGATTCAGAAGTAATAAAGACATGCATCATGTGGTGTTAAAATCGTGGCGTGGGAGGTGTTAGCCTGTTCTAAGATCTTAGAGGCTAGTACACTGTGAGTAATAATAATAAAAATAACTTGAACTTCTCACCCATAAAAAGCACAATTTTTAAATCTGACTCTAAAGAATTATTTGCAGACATTCGGCAAAATAATTTATCTTTCCATCCATAGTTTGCATTCTATAAACTTGAATTATTAGAGGTCCTAAAGTTGTGTCAGCCTCTGCTTGATGACCACAGTTTCAGCCTGTTTCTAATGCTGTTTTCATATTACACTAGACAAGTTGGCAAGTGCTAGACAGCTTCCTGTGCTTTGTTCTCAGTCCCTTATTTTCTCCGTCTCATTTAGGTTCTTTCGTAACCATTTCACAAACATTGTCAACATTTATTAAACATACCTGTATGTAGGTAGGAATACTGGGTCTTTTTGGTGTTTCTTTTTTTTTTTTAATATATCTTTATTGATTTCAGAGAGGAAAGGAGAGGGAGAGAGTGAAATAGAAACATCAGTGGTGAGAGGGTCATTGAACGGCTGCCTCCTGCACGCCTCCGACTGGGGATCGAGCCCGCAACCCGGGCATGTGCCCTACCGGGAATCGAACCCCGATCACCTGGATCCTACGTCAACGCTCAACTGCTGAGCCACACCCAGCCGGGAGGTGTTTCATTTTTTGTTTGTTTTAAGGCATGAGAAACAATCTCATCTGTTTACTTAAGTGAAGTATTGTTTCCATTTGTAAAAGGTATATAATAAATACTGATTTGATTCTAGAGTTGTCTTTTTAACATTTTTAGTTTTAGACTGTTGCAGAGCTTATAAACAACTATTGCTTTTATTTAAATAAAAGATGTTTTAGAACCTTTGCTGCTAATTAGAAATTGTTTCCTAGCATTGTCTTTAAAATGTTAGTGTATTTGCAATGAATTTAATTGCTTCGACCCAATGCTGATTGTAGGCAAAATTGTGAAGTGAGGGAGCTGGTTCTCTCTCCCTCCCAGCTCTGCCCTCAGCCATGTGCAGCAGAGCTCTTAGTCTCCCTCCTGTCCTGACTTACGAGGGCATTGACTCCTCTCCTTGTGGTATGTTCTGAGGCCATGTATTTTGTAAGTCATTAAATAGCAGTAGGTTGATCAAGTGGTGTGGTAGACATGGTTGTCTACTCCGATAATCCCTTTCGTCTTTTCAACTGTTAGCGAAACTTCCATGACACTATTTTCTTTTGCATTTTTCTACCTCAGCCTTCCTTGCCTTGTTGAAATGTATTGACTTATACAGAGAAATTGTATTTTAATTATGAAAATAGTTACTCTCATTTTAAGGAAATGACCAATAGTTTTTCCTATAGTATTTTTGTACTAGATTTTTATACAGAAAAACAATGATAAATAATGAGACTAGAACTCTAAAATAGCTATTTTTTATCATTTTTATTGTATCCACTTTTCTGTGGTTATTCAGAAAAGACAACTGACTTAATTTTTGTCTTGTGTTTCAACAGAAGGAGACTATATTAAAATGTTTATGCGAGGTCGGCCAATTACGATGTTTATTCCTTCTGATGTTGACAACTATGATGACATCAGAACAGAACTGCCTCCTGAGAAGCTGAAACTGGAGTGGGTGTATCCTTTTCAACCATGACAGCAAATCTGTTTGCTTCACCAAGGAAAAGTTAGTTCACCTGACCTCTATCAAAATGATTTTTATACCAGAAAAGTAAATGTAAAAATGACAACCTCTTGGGAAGGTAAAGAGATGTCATCTCTAATCCTTCCACATATTTTATATATTTTGCTATTAGCAGTTCAAAATCATCAAAATTAACGTCTTCAAGTACAGCAAGCAATATTCTGTGGTCATCACAGCCGGTATTTGTAATGAGGTAGAAAAGGCATTGAACTGGAATTGGAAGACTAATGTTTGAGTCTTGGCCCTGCCACTTACCCTCAGTGAAACTTACTTTCACTTAAAGAGGTTAATAACCCCTACCTCACAGGCCTGTTGTGAGAATTAAATAAGAAAACGCCGGTTAAATATTTTGTAACCTGTGAAATAATATGAATTATTGAGTTCAAACTAACAAGGTTGCTTTTAATTCCAGAATTAACTTCTGTTCTCAGCCAAACGTTTTAAAGAAATTTCTATATAAAATAGAGCTCTCCTAATTACACTGAGACATTCTCCCTTCTCTTAAAACCTCTGAGAAACTGCTAGTGAAGCCCAAGGCAGCTAATAGTTTGCACTCTGCTTTCTGCCTGCCTCCCCCACACCCTCTTCCCCCGCCCTTGAACCATTCCATCCTTTCAGGGGCATTAGCTTGGGGAATCTCGCCAGTCCTGTCCTTCTGGACATTTTAACAGGCCCTCTGCCTGCCACACTGCCGGGCTCTCATTTATCGTGTGGGCCCGGCACGAACGCCGCTTTCTCAGAGAGCCCTTCCTTTGTGCCCTCTTTTTCTCTCCGTTTAAGTTAGTTCCTCCTTTTATGGTTCTTGCAGCATCCTGTTATTTTTCTCCCCACAGGTCCTAATAACATAATTGTTGTTGGTTTTTGTCATTTTTGCCAGAGCACAAGCTTTAGGGACACAGGCCATTGGTTTGTATGTTTAGCTCTGTACCTTACACACCGGGAACTCAGTGTATTTGGTGAATGGGGAAACTCAGATTCAAGAACATTGGCAGACACGAGTTCTCAAGTTCCAGCCCAGCCCTCTTTACATTATACCTTACTGATTTCCTTAAGCATCCTTGAAGAAATTGTTAATTTTTAACACCTCAAAAATTATGTTTGTTAAAAACCTTGACTTTCTTTTAAGATATGGTTATCGAGGAAAGGACTGTCGAGCTAATGTTTACCTTCTTCCTACTGGGGAAATAGTTTATTTTATAGCATCAGTAGTCGTACTATTTAATTATGAGGAGAGAACTCAACGGCACTACCTGGGTCATACAGACTGTGTGAAATGGTTGGTATCATTTACATTGTTCGTTTTTTAATTCCATGTTTTCATTTTTGTTTTGGGATGTTTTAAAAAATTTTGGGATTTATAGGAAATGATTTCTTGTAGACCGCTTAGAATTTAAGAATATTATCGCCATTCTGTAGAATATATTTTAAAAAGAAAAGACTTACAGGCCTCCAAAATGGTTGTTGTTATCAGCAACCATAAAATACATTGCCTGTAAATCTCAATTGGGATCTCTTCTGCTTTCTCAGATCTGTGATCCTTTTCTGCTGCTGTAGTGTCAGAGGTATGTGGGGCACACTAGGCTTCTACAGATACCTGAGAATGACTATTGGTTACTAAATATTTATTGAGGGTTTAGTCTATGCAGGATTTTCTTTTGGGGATAAAGAAATCATATCTAAATAAGGATCATAAGTATCCCATAGGGTGTTAAACTGTAAAACTGTGAGAACTTTAAATGCTTAGGCATGTTTTAAAATTATTCAACTAATTTTGCTATTTATTAAGTTCAGTAATTCATTTCTTAAATCATTATTTCCTAACATAAAAAGCTTCTCTTTATCTGTACTATTCTTGCACCTATATCTTTATCAGAAAAAATTAATATATGACTATTAGAATATTATATATTGTTAAATTTTTAGAGATGATTAAAATACAGCCTTTTACAGTGAAAGAATAACATATGCATAGAATTATGTATTACAGTATGTTTGTGATTATAGTAAAGATTGGAAACAGCCTAAATATCATTTGGCTGGAGACAAGTGAAGTTGTAATGTACCCATAGGTTACTATGCAGCTATAAAAAAGGATTGAGGAAGCCCTTTATGTATTAATATGGAAGAATCCCTAGTATATTCTACAAAGTACAAAGCTTAAAGGGTAGGAAAATGGGCAGTGCTTTACCATGGGTAAAAGTGGGGTGGAAAATAAATATTTGACTTTGCTTCCACATATGTGACAATGTTCCAGAATTATTAAGAAGAAACATTATAGTGATTACCTGGTTGGGGAGATAAGGAGTGGGGATAGTAGAGAGATAGATGAGATCGTAGCAGATAGGGCAGAGTAGAAAAGAGACTTTTCTCAGTATGTGTTTTTATAGCTTTTGATATTTGAACGATGCAAATGTATTACCGAATCCAGAAATTTTACGTGTGTGTGTGTTACTAGAAACTATAATTGCCATTAAGCAGTCTTGCAGCTGCTTCTTTATATCCTTAGTGTTAGGAGTTCCATTCAGTTAGTCTACAGATGGTTCTCAAGGGTGATTGTTCTGTAATTTAGTTGTAATTTTGATGTAATTTTTGATGGTCATGAGAGGAGGTGAACACAGCATTTACCTATTCTACCATCTTCACCAGAACTCCAGAAATTTTACTTTTTAAAGTGTGTTTTAAAACATATGGCAAAATGTTAATGTGTTAGATTTTTAGTTGCTTCTCATGTAGTTGACCTTAATAAAAGGACATAAACTATTTAGAGGAAATAGTATTAGTTAAAGAAACATATTGATAAACTCTAGCCTCCTTAGTCATCAAAAAAATTAAAACAATATGTCAGTTATACCAGTCAGATTATCAAGGCATGTTAAAACATAATTCTTAATTTGGGGAAATTATAGTGAAACTTTTAAAACATTTTTATTTCTTATGATAGTTTAAATTGATACCATTCTTCTGAAAAGCAATGATTAATACATACAAAAAATGGACATTCCCAAGTTGAGCTTGCCCTGTGGTTGCAAGATGCAGAAAGATTCTAGAGATGGACATAAAGGCATCTTTTTAAAAAGCTTCTAGTTACTCGTGTTTATCATGAGAAATGTGGGCATCTGTGCTACACTATTTTCAGTTTGTACTTAGAAGTTCCTTGCCCCAAGTTTGACCTATAAGAATTTAGTCTTAAGAGTTAATTAAAAGGTTGGAGGCACTAGGAGTGAAGATGGTCACTGTTGTTTGCCTTTGTAGAAAAGTGGAAATAATAGAAGAGTTGTTGAGTTAATATTATAAGGATTATGTAACAAAATGGAAAAATGCTTATTTTTTTTCCAGAGAACTTAGATGCATATATGCATAACCCATGGACACAGACAATAGTGTGGTGAAGGCCTGGGGAGGTAAATGGGGGTAAAAAGGGGGATATCTGTAATACTTTCAATAATAAAGATAAATTAAGAAAAAAATTTAATCTTGGTAAATGGTTTATGGGCTTTATTTGTATTATTTATATATTTATTTTATTTAAATTATTTATTGACACTACTGCAAATGTCCCCCATTCCTCCCCCACTTTGCTCACCTCCACCCAGCCCCCCCTCCCTCTGCCCTCCCCACACTATTGTCTGTGTCCATGGGCTATGCATATATGTTCTTTGGCTAATCCCTTCACCATCCTTTATCCAGTCTCCCTCATCCCCCTCCCCTCTGACATCCGTCAGTCTGTTCCATGTATCCATGCCTCTGGTTTTATTTTGTTCACCAATTAGATACCACATATTTATGAAATCATATGGTATTTGTCTTTCTCTCACTGGCTTATTTCACTTAGCATAATAATCTCTAGGTCCATCCATGCTGTTGCAAAGGGTAAAAGTTCATTCTTTTTTACAGCCACATATTTTTCCACTATGTAAATAAATATACCACAGCTTTTTTACCTACTCACCTACTGATGAGCATGTTGCTGTTTCTGTATCTTGGCTATTGTAAATAACACTGCTATGAACATATATTCTTTCTGATTGGTGTTTCTAGATTCTTAGGATATAAACCCAGAAATGGGGTTGCTGGGTCAAAAGGCAGTTCTGTTTTTAACTTTTGAGGACACTCCATACTGTTTTCCACAGTAGCTGCCCCGGTCTGCATTCCCACCAACAGTGCACTAACTAGGGTTTCCTTTTCTCCACAGCCTCCCCAGCGCTTGTTGTTTGTTGATTTATTAATAGTAGCCGTTCTAACAGGTGTGAGGTGGTACCTCACTGTAATTTTAATTTACACCTCTCTGATGGACTCTCACTCTTCATAGAGTGGTTTTATGTAGGAAGTGTCCTGTAGGACCCAGTGGTGCAGTCTCTTTGATCTCCTGGGCTAGATGCTCTAGGAATGTCCTTTGTGCTCTCCCGTGTAATTGGGTCTTGATTGTTGTCCCATTTGTGGGTGGGATCTCCACGCAGGCTGGCTGGCTGAGGCTAACCCCCGACCACGTCGTGCAAGCTGTTACACAGGTGCTAGGTTGCAGGTTCACTCTCCAGTGGGGGTGCGTACAGGAGGCAACTGATCGATGTTTCTCACATCAGTGTTTCTCTCCTCTCCTCCCTCTCAGTCTCAAGGTAGTTTCTGCCCTCCCTTGTTTCAAAGTCTTCTCTTCAGCTAGTCTTCACTTGGTTCACACTCAGGGTGAATCTCCCCCAATTTAGCTTTATTTCCATTTTGGTTCTGGGAGGAGGTGCAAGAAAGATCCACCTATTCCACCCCCATCTTGAAACCCCTAATGCTTATGTTTTGATAGGTTAAAATTACAATGCAGTGTGCATCTTCACTGTAATAAAACCATGTGAATATGTATATGAACATAGGTGCAGGACTAGAAAGGAACTTAAACATATGAAAACAGTTTAGGTGAAGGAATTAAACAAAAAAAAAACTCATAGACGCATCACAACAGCATGGTAGTTACCAGAGGGGAAGGTGGGTCGGGGGAGGTAGAAGAAAAAGAAAAAACAAAACAGTTTAGTTTATTATGCCACAATTGTGAATAAATATTTTCTTCAAATACAGTGTTTTATTAATTTGTTAAGGTTAGCAAAGAAAGAAGTACGGCTGAAAACTTAGAAAAGACTTGATGTTTATTTGACTTGCTGAAGAAAATAAAACAAATAGTTCATAGGGAGATTTTTAATGATCAAAAATCTATTTGTAAAATGTTGATACTAAGGCATATTTCTGGTGTTTCACGTTTCCTGTATTTAAAATTGTTGTTAATACTACTTTGTAGCCTTGCTGTACATCCTGACAAAATTAGGATTGCAACTGGACAAATAGCTGGAGTGGATAAAGATGGAAGGGTGAGCGTCACAGTTTTATCCCTTCTGTACCTAGCGGCATTACTGTTAGGATGGAATTGATGGTAGTTTTTATTGTATCTCATGTTATTCTTCTAAAGTTTAATTACTAAGATTTCTAGTATAAGCTGGGGGGAAATATTAGAATGTAAGAACATTCCAAAAAACAAAAAAGAATTATACTACTTAATTTTTTTTCCCCCTAAAAAACAAGTGTTCTCCCTAAGGAAACTATTTACTTGTAAAAATGGGAGTACTGATAAGATTTTTATTTTTTTAACATAGAATAAGTTATCGATGTTTGCCAGAGGTACTTCCATTTCCCTAAATTGACGGACCCCTTGATTTTGTATATGAGTAGCACTGATAACACTTTAAAATTTTCAGTTACTATTCAATATTACTAAATAGGCTGAAATAAGGAATCCCTTATTTGTAAAGAACAACAGTGAATATTGATGGGAACTGATTAGCAGTATATGGCTGTACTCATGGAATTCTCTGGCTTTAGTTTCTTCAATGAAAAGGAGTTGGAGGGGTTATATTGGATGACTTATAAGACCCCGTCTAGTTCCAAATTCTATTTTAAGAACTGTTTGGTTAGCAATTTATTGAATACTGATTTTAAAAAGTATTATTTTCCCAGATACAAAGGTAGTGTTAAAAGCAGGGTATCCAGAGCAAACTTTCCTGGGTCAGAATCCTGGCTCCACCTTTTAATAGCTGTATAACTTTGGACAAGTTATTTAAATCTCTGTATCTCAATTTCCTCATCTGTTAAATGGCGATTATTATAGTACATAGCTCATAGAATTATGAAGATTAAATGAACTAATATATGTGGTGTACTTAGAATAGTATATGGCACTTGGGAAATACTCAGATCACCTGCTGCTGCTACTTTTATCACTGTTGTTATAGCCTTATTTTCATGGTATGAGAAGAAAATACCAGCTCACAGTTCTTTGAGGGCATGTCTAAATGGCGTAGCTATTTTTTTATTAGATATTTATTCATTTCTGTTACTTTTTAAAGACAGTGAACAGTTCTGTGTTGCAGTGATATTTATTGGCATCCACCTGTGTACCAGCGAGCCCTGTTGTCTTGTGTTCTTCCCTTCTTTTTGCAGCCTCTGCAACCCCATGTCCGAGTATGGGATTCAGTTAGCCTATCCACGCTGCAGATTATTGGACTTGGAACTTTTGAGCGTGGAGTAGGATGCCTGGATTTTTCAAAAGCAGTAAGTAACAGTTTTTAAAAGAGTAAGCAAGCGGTACAAAGAAGCTGAACAGTTTAGGCTT